GGGACAGGCTCCTTCTGCAGAGAAGGCCTGGGTGGGCGGGGACAGGCTTCCTCTGCAGAGAAGACCTGGGGGGGAGGGCAGGCTCTCCCTGTAGAGAAGGCCTGGGGGAGGGGCGGGCATAGGCTCTCTCTACAGAGAAGGCCTAAGGGGGCAGGCTCCCTCTGCAGAGAAGGCCTGGAATGGGGGGATAGGCCTCTCTACAGAGAAGGCCTGGGGGGCGGGGCAGATTCCCTCTGCAGAGAAGGCCTGGGTGGGCAGGGACAGGCTCCCTTTACAGAGAAGACCTGGGGGTGTGGATAGGCACCCTCCGCAGAGAAGGCCTGGGCGGGGGCCAGGCTCCCTCTGCAGAGAAGGCCTGGGGGGGGGATAGGCCTCTCTACAGAGAAGGCCTTGAGGGGGGGCAGGCTCCCTCTGCAGAGAAGGCCTAGGGCAGGGGGACAGGCTCTCTCTACAGAGAGGCCCGGTGGGGGGAACAGGTTCTCTCTGCAGAGAAGGCCTGGTGGGGGGCAGGCTCCCTCTGCAGAGGCCTGGTTGGGGGACAGGCTCCCTACAGACTCCCTCTGCAGAGAAGGCCTGGGGGGGTGGGCAGGACAGGCTCTCTCTGCAGGAAGGCCTGTGTGGGGTTATAGGCCTCTCTACAGAGAAGGCCTGGTGGGAGGACAGGCTCTCTCTGCAGAGAAGGTGGGGGGGCGGGGACAGACTCTCTCTACAGAGAAGGACAGGAACGGGGGGCGGCGATAGACTCTGCAAAGAAGGCCTGGTGGGGGTCAGGCTCCCTCTGCAGAGAAGGCCTGGGCGGGGTATAGGCTCCCTCTACAGAGAAGGCCTGGGCGGGTGGATAGGCCTCTCTACAGAGAAGGCCTTGCGGGGGGGATAGGCTCCCTCTGCAGAGAAGGCCTGGTGGCGGGGGCAGGCTCTCTCTGCAGAGAAGGCCTGGGCAGGGGGATAGGCTCTCTCTATAGAGAGGCCTGGTGGGGGGAACAGGTTCTCTCTGCAGAGAAGGCCTGGGGGTGTGGATAGGCCTCTGTACAGAGAAGGCCTGGTTGGGGGAACAGTCTCCCTCTGCAGAGAAGGCCTGGTGGGGGGCAGGTTCCCTCTGCAGAGAAGGCCTGGTGGGGGGGGGCAGGCTCCCTCTGTAGGAAGGCCTGGTGGGGGGCAGGCTCCCTCTGCAGAGAAGTCCTGGGGGGGACAGGCTTCCTCTACAGAGAACGCCTGGGTGGGGGCAGGCTCCCTCTGCAGAGAAGTCTTGGGCGATAGGCTCTCTCTACAGAGAAGGCCTGGTGGGGTGAATAGGCTCCCTCTGCAGAGAAGGCCTGGGGGGGCAGGCTCCCTCTGCAGAGAAGTCTTGGGCAGGGGGATAGGCTCTCTCTACAGAGAAGGCCTGGTGGGGTGAATAGGCTCCCTCTGCAGAGAAGGCCTGGGTGGGGCAGGCTCCCCCTGCAGAGAAGGCGTGGCGGGGGGAACAGGTTCTCTCTGCAGAGAAGGCCTGGGGGGCGGACAGTCTCCCTCTACAGAAAAGGCCTGGTGGGGGGCAGGCTCCCTCTGCAGAGATAGTCTGGGTGGGGGGACAGGCTCCCTCTACAGAGAAGGCCTGGTGTGGGGCAGGCTCCCTCTACAGAGAAGGCCTGGTGTGGGGCAGGCTCCCTTTGCAGAGAAGGCCTGGGGGGCGCAGTCTCCCTCTGCAGAGATAGTGTGGAGGGGGCAGGGACAGGCTCCCTCTGTCCCAAGGCCCTTACACTCCATATAAATCTATGCAAATAAACTTTTGTTTCCCCCCACCCTAGATCTTTTAATATCTTTATTTCTAATTAAGTTTTGGCCCATATGCCTACTGTTTTTCTTTGGCAATACTTTTGATGACTTTAAACACTTGTATCTCTAGGTAAATTACCCGAAAGAAAATTGGCCAGGAATATTCTTGCCTTTAGGACTAGGCTCAAATGTCCCCTCCTCAACAGACTAGCTCTGGACAAGTAACCCCCACCTCCTGCAGCACCACCCCCCCAAGGACAGAATTAGGTCACAGGTCATGCTGACATAGACTCCTTCTTGGCTTTGGGTTTCTGAGTGATGGCACTGGATTCTGAACCATAATTAAGAGATGAAGCTAGTATACTCTTTGGGAAACATGGAGATTCATGATTCACAGTAACAGGTAGGCAGTAGACAGAACAGATGCGTGACTGACCACTGGTGCCGCCACGTGCCCTTGGCCTTCACCATTTCAGAGCCTGCTGGCCTCAATTCCTGCCCCCAGTTGCATGTGTGTGCCCGGGCATTTCCTCTGGCATGTGAAGGCAGCCTGCAGGGCTGGAGAGCTGTGTGCCCACCCCAGGGGAGCCCTCGACTCAACCAAGCGCTGCTGCCACGTCACGCACGCCCTACCCCCTCGCTGTGCTGGGAGTAACTCTGGGGCCTGAGTTCAGCAGTGGCCCTTGACAAATGTCACCTTGTAAATCCTGGTCCTGAGCCGGTCAATGCAGGTGGCACCTGAGAGGCGAAGCGTGACCGCCAGAGGCCCAGTGGTGCTTCACCTGCTTCACCTAGCACCCAGCAGGACCGAGCACTGGCGTCCAGGGCGTACCTGCCCCACTTCTCCCCTGCGCTGGCTTCCTCCCTTCCCCATCCCCCCTGCTCAGCCCCCACGCTGCCGCCTGGGATCTCATTCCCCATCACTTACTGGCCCTTGACTCCTGACTCGGGAGCTGCTTCTGGGGGACACAAACTAAGACACTTGCGAATACGATCAGTGTTTCAAATTGGGCGTTCTGGGGCCGTTTATTTGGATTTGGGAGAAAGATGATTTAAGCACAGCAGCACATTCTAATCACTTTGGAGGCCCCTTACGTTTACCGAGGTAGACTTAATTATTTACACGCTTCGATTAGACCACGTATATAACTATCGTGGCTGTTTCCAATAGAGGTATTTTATTAATTCTAGAAGTTATATTTTAAGTAGTAAAAATTGAGATATTCTGAAGTAAATTTTTGGAATACTTACTTTTTTGTGAGCATTCAATTACAATTCTCTTTTATCTCCACTTTGTCTAAGTGTGACTAGGTGCTCACTCAGGAGCATGTGGGAATGCCTGGCTGGATGCTCCGTGCGTTGAAAACATGGGATCAAGTGTTTAGTGAGCACCCACCAAAACAGGAATAAGTAGTGGTCTGAAGGACCAGGTCATTCCTGAAACAGGTGCCTGATGGCGGCTTGGTGGTGAGAACGGTTTCATTTGATTTATCCCAGTGAATTTTTACCAAAATCCACACTAGACAGGCTCTATACTGGGCACTGAGAGTGCAAACCAATGGGCACAGAACCAGGAAAGGGCATATAGCTCTGACGGGTCGACAAAGACACCTGGACACGGTGTGAGTCCAGCAGAGGACGCGCGAGGCCTTGTGACGTCACTAAGGAGGAGACAGCCTCCCCGGTCCTGGCTGTAAAAATCACTAACTTCAGTTTTAATGCAGTTTGTTGTAGTAATTATCCCACAAACCTCGAGAAGTTAAATCTTGGGGGGGGCAGAGTGCTGAGCAGCTTAGATCTGCAGGAAGGCCAGGAGAGAGCCCAGTCCCTTCTGCACCATGAGCGGAGCAGGGAGCTCCAGAGGGCAGTGTCCCAGGTTCAGCGCTTTCAGTGAGGTCACATTCCCTGCACGAGAGAGGAAGAACCCAGAACTACACACACTGTTCCGTGGAATCAAATGAATCAAACAAAGAGAGAATACTGTTTGCACATTAAAGTAAAAAAAAGACCTTTTTGAGAATTTTGGGTAAATGATAGGACAGATGTCTGAGATTTGCTTTGAAAAAAGTCTACAGGGAAGGCAGATTGCACAGATTAAGACCAGGCTAGTTACAAAAGTAAATAAATAATATAAAATGAATAGAAGCAGCAATAACAGCCCTCTGGCAAAAAATCTGAGAATTTTTTTAAAAAATTTAAAAATAAAAGAATACAAAGTTGCTATATTATCTAACGCGTTTCTTGACAATGACAAAAAAAAAAAAAAAAACCTAAAAGGCATGTAAAGAAAAGGAACCTGTGACCCATACTCAGGAAATAAGCAGTCACTAGAATCTATCCTCGAGTCGGCTCAGATATTGGAGTAAGCAGACAACAACTTCAAAGCAGTCACAAATATGTTCAAAGGAATGCAGAAAACCATGTTTAAATAATTAAAGACAAACACGGTAAAATGACTGAACAAGTATAGAATGTCAACAAAAACAGAAATTATAAGAAGGAACCAAATAGCAGTTCTAGAGTTGAAGTTACAAAGTCCGGGATGAAAAATGCACCAGAGGGACCCAACAGCAGATACATACGAGACAGCAGAAGAGACAAGTGATGGTCTGCTGGCCGGAGCGAAGAACGATGAAATCAGGAGTCTGCGGAGGCCTGTGGAACAGCAGCACGTATGCTGACCCTCGGGAATGTAGCGAGAGCCCCAGAGAACGAGGGGGCGAGCAGAGCGCTACGTGAGGACACCGTGCAAACATGCCCGGCTTGGCGGCAGACATCAGTGTAACTTCCAGGACGTTCACAACCAAGTAAGATAAGCCAAAGGCAATCACACTTAGAAACATCAAAACCACTGAAAGACAAAGAAAAGGATCTTGAAAACAGCACAAGAGAAACAAGGGGATGACATACAAGGGGACAGCGAGAGCAACTTCCAGTCAAAAACAGTGGAGGCCAGAGGACAGGGAACAACATGTTCAAAGGGCCGAAAAATCCTGTGGATCACGCGCCCTGATCTACCCAAACTGTCCTGCAGAAATACAGATGAAATGAAGATATTCCCATCTGATGCAGGAAGAGTGGTTCACCTGAACTGGACTGCAGCAATTACTAAAATGAATTCGTAACTGAAAACCTTCCCCACCACACACACAACCTCAGGACCAGCTGACAACCACTGCACTAAATGAATGAGTTTAATGGTAGAAGACAGAATCTGTGAATTCCAAGACAAGTTAACAGGAAGTAATGCAAACTGGAACAAAGAGAAAAGTGCATGGGAAAAGAATAGCTTATTTGAGGCACATGGGACAGAATCAAAATCCCAACATCATGTGACTGGAGGCCCAGGAGGAGAGGAGAACAAGAAAGAAGCCAGACCTACAGAAATAACATCAACAGCCAGGGATTTTCCAAATCTGACTAAAGACATCAATAAACAGATTCCAGAAGCTCAGGAAGCCCCCAAAAAAGTAAATACAAAGAAAGCCACACCCAGGCACATCACAGGTGAACTGCTGAAAATTAAACATGAAGAGAGGAATTTTCAGCAGCCAGACAAAAGAGATACATCCCTTTTAAAAGAAAAGCAGTAAGACTGACAGCTGACTTTTCAACAGAGGTTAGAAGTCAGAAGACAATAAAGACATTTTTTTTAAAAAGATTTTATTTATTTATTTGACAGAGAGAGACACAGCAAGAGAGGAAACACAAGCAGGGGGAGTGGGAGAGGGAGAGGCAGGCTTCCTGCTGAGCAGAGAGCCCGATGCGGGGCTCGATCCCAGGACCCTGGGATCATGACCTGAGCCGAAGGCAGACACCCAACGACTGAGCGACCCAGGTGCCGTAATAAAGACATTTTTAAATGAAATCTGGGTTCCTATACTCAGCCAAATATTCTTCAAAAATGATGGAACAGTAAATATGCTTTTTTAGAAAATCAAACTTGAATAATTCATTACCAAAAAACTAAATGACAACACAAAGAGAGATCTTCAGGCCAAGATGGTCATCCCAGATGGAAGCAGGGAACTTTAAAAAACGAAGGGTAAAGATGTAAGAAAATATAAATAAATACTGACAAAATAAATAAATGTATCTGCTGGATTTATAGCAAGACATAAAAGCAAAATCTATGAAAACAATAGCACAGAGGTAGGGAGGAGGCAATGGGAAGAGCGCTCGCTTCTGCAGACAGTCATCGGTCAAGGACATGCACGGTCTAGAGAACCACTAAGTAACGCTACACATGGTACAGTGAGGGGATTCTGCTAGTTTGCAGAAACTGGGCAAGACAGAAATGAAAAGCAGGCAGAAACTAGAGGGGGAACGACAGCTTCAAGAAGAGAAAGACACAAAGCGCGTAGTATCTGTATGGCTTTCTGCGCCGCACAGGGCAGCTGTAACAGACAGAAACCACACAGTCGTAGTGACTTGCAGCGCCAGAGGACAGCCTACAGAGCTACCAGAGCAGCTAAAAAGTGAAGGGGTGGACTCCAGAAAGAAGAGGGCTGCAGAGTGGAGCCTTCTGTCTCCGTGCACATGTTCTGTGTGCAAATCCGTGGCACAGTCCTGAACTTCCCACGCATTGGACAGGCTGTGAGTAAGATGGCCATAGCTACTGCCCACCGCCAGAGTTCGGAGTCTATCTCAGTCCTTTCAACTTAACTACCTATTTTTAAAAAACCAATACTCTAAAGAGGACTATAACAGAATCCAGAATCTCTACAATGTATCTATCACAATGTCCTAGATATAATCCAAAAAATTATTAAAGGAAAAATATGTTTATATCAAATGGAAAAATAACTCTCAGCAGAAAAATAGGAACTATTAAAATATGAAAATTCTAAGACTGAAAACACAGTAGCTGAAAAAAAATTACTAGGCAATGTTCACAGCCAATCGGAGATGATAGGAAAGACTCATAAACTTGAAGATGTTTATCTATCTTCTCTGAAGAGCAGAAAAATGACCTTTAAGATGTACAGAAGGTCAGTGATCTGTGGGACAATAACAAAAGTTCCAACAAATAGGTAAAAAAAGAGAACAGGAGCAGAAAAATATTTGAAGACTTAATGACCAAAATATGTCCCAAATTTGGCAAGAGATGTGAATTTAAAAATTGAATAAATTCAACAAACTCCAAGGAGGATAAATACAAAGAAAACCACAGCTAGGTACCTCATAGTCAAACTGTTGAAAAGCAAAGATACAGAGAAATCTTGAAAGTAACCAGAGCCAATCAACATAGTTCATAAAGAAGAACAAAGAATGAACGACCTCTGATGCCTGGGGTCAGTGGAACTTCTTTAAAGTCCTAGATGAAAAAAATCTAACCCGTATTTCTAGATCAGCAATATCCCTTAAGAATTAAGGCAAAATAGGGGCGCCTGGGTGGCTCAGTCGGTCGGGCAGCCGACTCCTGGTTTCAGCTCAGATCATGACCTTGGGCTCCCTGCTCAGTAGAGAGTCTGCTTGTCTCCCTCTCCTCTGCCCCCCCCCGTTTGTGCATATGCACGTGCATGCTTTCTCTCTGTCCCTTATTAAGTAAATAAATCTTTAAAAAAATAAAAACAAAAATTAAAAAGGCAGAGATTGTCTGACCAGATAAAAAGTGAACCCAAATAGATCCTACAATACTAGCAATATATTGTAAATACAGACAGGTTGGAAGTAAAAGAATGAAAAACATATACCATGCAAAGAGTAAGCAGAAGAAGGCTGGAGTGGCCACACTAATACATATTGAATGGCCAATAAGCATGTGACAGAGTTCTATCACTGGCCATCAGAGAAACGCACATGAAAACCACAATGCAGTACCACTACACACACCAGAGTAACAAAAATAACAATATAAAAATCCCAAATTTCTATTCAACCAATAACACAAGATCAAAATACATAAAGCAAAAGCTGACAGATCTAAAATGAAAGGCAGACAAATGCACATAGTTCAAGATTTTAACACAGTCCTTCAGGCACTGACAAAATAAACAGACAAAAAAGGATGTAGATGATCTGAATGCTATGATTAAGCAACTTGACCTAACTCAATACATAGAACATCACATCAAGTAACAACTTGAGTATACACAAGCTTCTCTAGTGCACCAGGTGATGTTTACCAGACAGAACGTATCCTGGGCCAGAGAGCACACCTGAACAAGCTTCAGATAACCAAAATTACACAGTACATGTGGCATTAAATTAGAATTCAACAGAAGGAAGAGAACTAGAAAATCTCCCATTGTGTATAAGTGAAGCAAAACACAAAGAGCCCATGGGTCACAGTACATTTGAGAATATTTTGAGCTGAGTGATAATAAAGATGATGCACGTTGAGGTTTGTGGGCACAGCCAAGACAGCACTGGGGGGAAATCATAGTTCGGACTGCATAGTTTAGGAAAGAAAGGTTTAAAATCAGTGATCTAAGGGAGCGCCTGGGTGGCTCAGTCAGTTAAGCGTCTGCCTTCGGCTCAGGTCATGATCCCAGGGTCCTGGGATGGAGCCCCGCATCGGGCTCCCTGCTCAGCGGGAAGTCTGCTTCTCCCTCTCCCTCTGCCTCTACCCCTGCTTCTGCTCTCTCTCTCTCTCTCTCAAATAAATAGAGGCTTTTTAAAAAAAAAATCAGTGATCTTAGCCTCCAACTCAATTGGTTAGAAAAAGAACAGCAAATCAAACCTAAAAAAACAAAGATAGTAAAGAGCAGAAATCTGTGAGGCAAACAGATGCAGAACAGAGAACATCGTCTTCTGTTTCCTCCTCCTCATTATTTACAGCAGGGAAAATGAATAAAAATGAAGGCACTACACTCATACACATCCCCATGGATAAACCCCAACAGCACAGTGCTGAGCCAAAACTGCATATCACCAGGAATTCATACTGGTATGATTCAACTTATGAAAAGTTCAAAAGGAGGGCCTTTTAAACATGCACTGCTAGGGAGCCGTCAGCGGCCAAGCTCTCCAGGAAAGCAGGGAGAGGGTGAGCCCGGACCCTCAGGCTCCCAGGGAGGGAGGGACAAAGGAGAGATCATGACTCTACCAGAGCAGCACTGATGCCTACTTTCCTGAAGCTGTGCACTGGCTCCAAAGCCCTTCATTTTTATTATTTCTTACCCTATGTTTATGTGCCACTCTTTCTATATAGAATATCCATTACAACATTAACGGCTCTTGAGAGGTGTGCTATCTGAGAGCCCGGGAAGGAGGAAGTAGAAGGGATGATTTAAGTACAAGCCAGCTCGCCCCCTGTGACTTGTCTTATGTTCCCATTTAAAGGTTCCATGAACTTAAAAAGGCAGCATTTTAAAACCAGCTTTTATTTTATTGTTTGAACACTTACCCAGCTCCACAGGTAACATTTTGATAGGATTTCTTTCTAAAAGCAAAGTTTTCAAATGCGTTTAAAAGAAAACAAAAAATATATAATTTAAAAAGCAGAAAATGAAATGACCATCCCCAAAATATACCATCAAATTTCTTCCTTTGCTGCGTCTTTAAGGAGACACCGTCAATGCAGGCACACACGCTTGCTGTCACACGTGTGGCCCACGGATGTCTGCAAACGTGGCCCTCGGGCTCAGCAGTGAGTCAGGACCGCTTTCTCAGCACAATGACATTCAAGGCCAGGTTATTCTCTGTGGGGGGGGGGTGTCCTGCACCTGTGGGATGTCCAGCAGCATCCTGGTCTCTACCCACCAGTCCAATAGGACCCCCTCCCCATGCCATGACAACCATGAAATCTCCCAGCATTGCCGAATCTCCACTGGGGGCAGCACTGCCCCCCAGGGGGACTGGTGCTCCGACTGCTGATCTCCAGCGTTTCCTGAGGTGTGCAGTGAGGGATCCAGCATTCGGACATGCCCTGTGAGCAAGTTTCCTTGGTCAAAATGCTTGGAAGCCTTCTGCTGCACTGCACACCCACCCTGCTGGGGGTGAGTAATTCGTAGTGAAGGGTTCTGGGAAGTCTCAGACCAGGGCAAGGAGGGATAAGGGGTGTTTCTCCATGTCTTTGACTCCAGATCCCTTTCCTACTAATACTTAGTAACATCTCCTATAAAATCTCTCACAAAATGTACCATGGATAGGATACAAGGTGCCCACTAACTGAATGATATGGAAAAATGAATATATCGTGTTAAACTCTATCTTGCCCCTTTTACCCTATTCTGCTTCTTTTGTTTTTCACATTTAATTCTTAAGACTGTATCATACACTAACGATCAATTTCTTTTTCTCCTTTACTTTTTAGGGACCACCAGCTGAAATCTGGTATAAAAAAAAAACACAAATACCATATTTCTAGCCCAGAGGATGGGCATCCAGGCAGAGGGCAGGGCCCCTCCCACCCCGGCCACTCTGTATCCGCATCACCCTGGGCCTCCCAGGACTTCGGGAGAATTGTCGAATCCACTGTAGTGTTTCATCTCCAGGGACAGGTCTGCTAGCCGGCACACCCCACCACAGCAGAGAGCGGGTCGGCTGGCCAGGCATGCAGGGATGCTGACCGTGTGGGGCTGGCTGCCTGCCACGGTGGGGAAGACCTCACAAGCCCCTGGGGAAAAGCTCCCAGCTGCCTTCTCCTCTATCGCTGACCTCAGCAGCCCCAGGAAACCAGCAGGGGGACCAAGTGGCTGGAATGGGGTCCAAGCCGTGCCCCCCAGCTTCAACCCTCCTTTCCCAAAGGAAAAGAGAGGAGCAGCCGAGCACACGTACAAATCCCATAAATGAATCAACACTGTGGGGGGAGGGAGGCCATCTCAAGCCTCATTTCACCTTCGAAGGTAAAAAAACAAAATCCAACATCACAACGGACCAGGGTCCCCAGGATTTGAAAGGAAAAAGACAATTTCACAGACATACAATTGAGAGTTCTATTATTCCAGCTAAATTAAGTTTAATTTTTGGATTGGCAACCCCAAAGGAAAATGAGATTACTTGAGGATTAGCAATTTTCTTTCCATTTACTCCCTTGGATTTTCCTTTTTATTTGAAATTTTAAAGGAACAGACTTTATAGATTAAACTTTTCTTGATGTACACAAAGGTGAATTATTTCAATGTTGTCACTTCAACTACTGCTTTTTGGTTCAGCCCCTTTTAGTTGTGTAATACACAAAACAGGCCAGGGATGGGTGAGCGCTTGCTCTGCATAAGGTGGACAGAGGCTGCAGACTGGGCGGCAGGTGGGCAGGTGCCCTGGACTTCCCCAACGGCAGGTCCTGTCGGTCAGGCCGTCCCCACCCACCGGCCTGCTGGCCTGGGGGTCCACTGTGGTGGGCGGAGACCACGGGAACCAACCATCCACCAGAAAGCATAGCAGGGCAATGATCTGTTTGAATATTCTCGTGCACACTTTGAATAATAAATTGATAAATGTTGACCCCGTAAATCCTATCAGTAATCCACTGGTTATGTCAGCGACTTCCCACTGGACATACACATTCACGAGCTGAGTCGCAGCTGCTGGCTTAAGGAGGCATATATACTGACGTACGCATGTTCTCGCTCTCTCTGCTCACAAGCTCACCCGTCCAAGACAATGGGGGGGAGAACATTAACACTGGCATTGCTTTAATTAGGCTTTTTGGAAAGTTTAAGGCTTTTAATAAGCCCATAATTACTTCACATTTCTGATTGTGTTTCAGCTCTTCAGCAAGCTGATCTAATTTTAATAATATAATGGGCTATAAATCACATGCAAAATTATATCTTAAACAATGCTAAGCAGTGGGCTTTGACTGGCAAAATCAAAACTGGAGGACTGTAGACTTATTTTATAGGAAAGAGCAGTGCTTGGGGAATGGGCTTTTGTTTATTTACCCTTTGAGTAGCAATCCGTCTCCTGGGCTGTGTGAGCGCCACAACTTATGGACAGAAAGCACTAAATCATCCTCAACACAGAAGATGAGGACTTTGGGAAGAACAAAGCCTTCCCAGCCCACCTGAACCACAAGCTCAGAAGACTCAAGAGGCCGTCAAGCTGGATGGGACATGGTGGGCGCAGGTCCAGGGAAGGCTCGGCCACCTGCCACACAGCCCTGGTTGGGGCCAAGGACACGGTTCTGTGTGTCCAGTGGTACAACTCACGGCAGGCGATGTGCTCTGCAGACCCCAACAACCCCAGGAGCTCCAGGAAGGCGGCTCCTGGCTCTGATTCCCCCTGCCAGAGACCCCAGCTTAGCATCAGAAATCAGCTGCTTCCTTGCAGAGCCTGAAAAGACACAAATGATTCACAGAGATTTTCTCTCACTGTGACATGTGACAAAATACTCACTTCCTAAAAATTACTCTGAACAACAGTGAGCTACAGGTCAGGCCAGTGAAGGGCCTTATACAGACCCCCAGTCTGTTGCTTCACGGTGGCTGCACGGCTCTCTGCAGACACAGTTGCTCATGTAGGAACAAGAGGTTGCCCTTGGATAACTGTCTTCCTCCCATGCCCTACATCCAACCCGAAACCCACGGGCTCTCAAGTGCCCTGCAGCTCTGCGTTGTCAGCCTTGCCCAGGCCGCTGCCTCCTAACCGGCGGCCCACTTCCCTCTCCTTACAGAGTGAACTCAAAGCCACGTCAAATTCCACCCCTCTCCATTCAAACCCTCCGTGACTCCCAAGCTCTTTCAAAATGAAGCCCAACACTGCAAGCCTGGCCTGCAAGGGTGGCCACCTGCCCCTCCTGGGTCCCGGCACACAGGCCCCCTCGCCATCCCCCACATCTGCCCCATGCACACCCCCGTGGCCTATGTGTGTGTTCTCCCCTGCCCAGGAGGCACTCACGTTAAAGGAGATCCTACAGTGTTTACCAGAAGGGTTTTAAAAGGTCAGGACACACTGACAGGGAGGGATGGGGAACTGGAGGCGCTGAGGTCAGGACAGGAGGTGGGGCTCTTCCGAGGAGGCCGGCTGACCCTGGGCTGCCGGCCAGGGCCACGTGAGGAGGAGGTAGGCACGGCATTTGTCCCAGACGTGGGGGTGCCAGGAAACCCCGGGATCAGAGTGGTGGGAATGTGGCCAATAACAGGCATTCCTTACTTTGGGGTTTCCAGCTTTCCAAAATGGAAAGCATTCCTTGTTATTTATCAGAAACTAATAGGTACCTGCAGGCCCTCAGGAGCAGAGAGGCTGGTTGTAGATCATCAGCCACATGCCCGACCCTTCCGGCAGCTTCGCATGATGAGAGTCAGAGCTGGAACCGGGTGTTGCAAAAACCTCACTGTTGGCCCTGCAAAGGCACTGTGGCTACCAGCATTCTTTGTGCTATTAAATATCCTACATTATAACTATAGTTATGTGCATTTGGTATATTCAGCCACCGCATCTATTAGCTAGCTTTAAAAATAGCATTAAATGCTTCTACACTGAAATCAAAATTCAATCAGGAGTTGGAGCTAAGCAGAAAAAGAACAGGCACTCACACATTTTAACACATGATGGTTCCTTAAAATCTGGAAATACAAACATACAACTTACTTGTGAGACCCAATCCCAGAAGGAAGAGCTCTAATTCTGTTATAGCGGAGGTCCAGCCAAGTGAGGTTTGGCAGTAACTGGAAGAAATCTTTAGGAATCTCACAGAGGGCATTTCTTTGAAGATGCAATCGCTTCCAGGGAAAAGAAACAAGAATATCTTGTCAACTACACTTTAAAACATGATACATCCTAGAGCATTTCCAGAAGAACCACAGGCTTTTGCACTCATACATATCAAGTGAAAAGAAAGCCCATAATATCTTACTCTTAGATAGGTTAAACAGCAGACAGGAGTCACAGAGGAAGGTACCAGGGTCCCTTGCCCAGCTTTTGGGGCTGGAGCGTGACTCCCGGGCTGGCCCCGCGGCTCCCTCATGGCTGACGGCTCAGCCTCCACCGCTGCACACCACATTTTCTCTGCAAATACCCTTAACACCAGACCGACTCCCCAAGCGTTTCTGTCCTTCTCCTCCTTCCTGGGCCCCACACTCAGTGCCTCTCGGGCTCCACTGGGCCTGCCCCTTCCCTAGCGCCCATCACAGGCAGCCCGCGGTAACTCTGGTCAGTGGACAAACGGCAAGAGCCGAGTCTGGTCCCAGGGACTCGTCCCAAGCTGAGAGTTCAAAGGAAACTAAAGGACAGGTGCACATAGCTGTCTGCCTCGGCCCCGTGGCTGCTGACCCCGGTTACCATCAGTAGCGCCACAGAAGCCATCCGCTGTCGTCAGGTGTACGAGGGAGGGAAGGTCCACGTCAGCACGTGTGGCGCTGACTCCAGCCATGTAAAAGGTACACGCGTGAGTCCACAGTCACAGCAGGGCACGATTATGGGGAAATTTTTTTTAAGTAGGCTCCATGCCGAGCGTGGAGCCCAACGCGGGGCCTGAATCCACAACCCCAAGATCAAGACCTGAGCAGAAATCAAGAGTCAGATGCTCAGGGGTGCCTGGGTGGCTCAGTTGGTTGAGCGACTGCCTTCGGATCAGGTCATGATCCTGGAGTCCCTGGATCGAGTCCCACATCGGGCTCCCTGCTCGGCAGGGAGTCTGCTTCTCCCTCTGACCCTCCCCCCTCTCATGTGCTCTCTCTCTCTCTCTCTCATTCTCTCTGTCTCAAATAAATAAATAAAATCTTTAAAAAAAAAAAAGAGTCAGACGCTCAACTGACTGAGCCCCCAGGTGCCCCTGATGCTGGATCTGCTGCGATATTGTTTCTGCGCTACTCTGCGTATTGCATAAGCGTATTCAACACCTCTAACTACCAAGACGGCAGAGCACAGATGTTAAGAACACTGGCCCAGAGCCAGACTTCCTGGGTTCAAATCTAGATTTGGAAACCTTATGAGCTGTGTGACTCTGAGCAGGCTCCCAAACCTCCCTGGGCTTCAGTGTCCCCCCTGTAAACGGGGTCACGGGACCCACCTGCCACCATAACTGAGGAGCACTGAGTGCAGCCCAGTGCTGCCAGCTGCCCCATCGGCCACAGCATCACGACTCCCAGCTCACCTCCAATACCATCCGCCGAGCCCCTTCTCGGGGTAGGGCAGGGGCTCTACCAGCACGTGGAAAGTGAGATCTCCAGCCAGCCGAGGTGCAGCCAGTCACCCTGCTGGCCGTGGGCATTCTCTGGGACGAGGTCGGGCAATTATGCACGCACAGCGTGTGCACACCCTGACATGGAACGGCTCTTGGCCTTGGCTGCCGCGTGGGCTCCAAGCTTCTCAGGCCTCCTCTCTCTCGGGGCAAGCTGGCTCTAGTGCTCAGCTCTGAAACCACAGATCCCAGATGCCAGAAAAGGTGGGAAGAGGCCATGCTGCTCTTTGCAAAGGGCTGTTCCCGTCAACGGCAAGGGGACTGCGCCACAGAAGCCCACCCTTCCTCTTGGGTCCGGTGGGGCCGCGCAAAGACGGCCTTCCTATGCTCCATGAGTGCACCGGTCTCTGGACATGCGACTGGTGACTCCAGAGATCGCTGCTTTATCTGCACACGTACCTGTAACCCACAGCGCCGAGCAGCCACCTCACTCCATGCTTGGTTGCCATGGTAATAACATTTATAGTCACATCTCTGTTTTCGGAGAGGCATGAACAGTTATGATGCTTCTTTATTAAGCCTGAACAACAGTTTTAGAATTTTCTCCTTCTTCCTTTATGTGTGGAGGTCCCATAAATCTCATGATGTGTTGGAGTCCTTGTTCACAGTTAGGAGCGTTTGCCCTCAGACAGGGCGGCCCTGATGACCCAGGAATTCACTCCAAGAGGTCGGCGCTCAGGGAAGAGAGAGCAGGGGCAGTGCCAGCCGCGACCGCCAGCACCCGGCATGTGACACACGACAGCAGGGCACCCAACATCCCAGTATGCAGCTCTGTGCAAGCGCTCCAAAATGTCAGCCAACACCCCCACGGCGCAATGTGTCCATGTGTCCTGTGGATGTTGTGCTTCACACGCGTTACAGTTTCATTTCTGTAATAACCCACAAGAATAGTCTCATTCTCACGTTGCAGATGAAGACAAATGAGGCTTAAGGAAATTACGTGAGTCCGAGGCAGCAGGCGCCCAAGCCCTGTACTCTTGCCCTGCTCACGTCAACACTGTGCTCTGACAGAACCTTATTCTAGAAACCCTGGGGGAAGAGACAGTACCCTCTAGGTTAGCAGCTGGTGGGAGCTGGGTGAGGACCCGGCACAGGGGAAAGTCTGCGTGTGACGTCAGCAAGGCAGGGCTGAGAAACAGCATTTACCTGTTGTAATACTGTATGGGAGCTTTTACAGGGAAGTTTTAAATAGGAGATCAAGGGTGCTTTCGGCAGCGGTTTCTACCATGGGCTTTTTGATGCTTAAGACTTTCCCAAGAAGAGAGGATAGATATCGCAGTCTGACCCCACGAGGTATTTCCACTGGCTGGTCCCCATACCAGAATTTCTTTTTGTGGTGAGCAGCACATGAGACCCTGAGTTAACCCTCTTCTCTCTCATCCTAGAAACTCTCTCCTAAAGAGAGGGCTCCAAATAAAGCCACTTATGTCCACTCGGCAGAGGCACAAATGCCCTGAGAAATGCCCCACTTACTTTAAGGTTGGGAATTTTAAAGATCTCTCCTAAACGGTGAAGACCACTTTGACTCAAGTCTAAAATCGACGAGGAAGACAAGATGACCCCCTTAACACCCTCGTGAACCTCTTTGGAGGGGGAAGCAGGTGTGCTCTTAACTTGACCAGCGTCGCTCTCTGGATCAGCCGTCCCCAGGGGAACCTCGCAGGATCTGCTTCCTTCCATCTGTCAGCCAGGAGGAAACAGTGCTCCGGGGACCTCTGCTCATCCTCCTTGGTCTGCAGTCACCTGGAGACAGGGAGGGGAGACACAGCAACATCTAGGTGACCTGACACGTCCTCCCAGGGGGCACGGGGTAGTTTGGTAGCAGATACGCAACCATTTCACTTGCTTACAAAACCATCATTTTTAATAAACAGTAGCATAAATCTGACATTTAAGTTTAAAGGAAGGAAGGAAGGAAATCAAGAAGGTTCTGACTGAGTGTTATACTCCTCACTTTGTACCATGGAGTTCCAAGATTTAACTTTTAACTCCTGGAAAACACAATGATGCAAAATAAGAATGACTATTTTAGGGATAAAAACAAACCAGAGCGTTTCAAAGTCTGTAAACCAATATATTCCTTCCATAAAATGCGAGTGTGGAGGGGCTCCCAAGTTTGCTTTCTGCTGTGGTTCTGAGCTCCTCACACTAGGAGTTAAGCTCCCTGTGTCCCAGAATCCCACCAGTTTTGCCATTTGGCTCAGTGAGCAGCACTGTCAAGAGAGAATCTTGAATTTCAGGTGCTCAACAATACTTCGAAAGTAGTTCCAGAACTGCTGCCGACCACAAGCTCTTCCAGCCAGGCATACACGCGTAATTTCTAAACAATGGATCCAGCAATAATAATGATCCGCACTGGAACTCGTCCTCCGCATGGACCCAGTCCCCCGGCTGTGGGAGGACTGGTACAGGTGCGGGCACAGGCACTTCCCGTTTGGGGGATGATCAATGCGAGGACTGGGCTAGTTCAGGGACTGCCTAAAAGCCGAACAACTAATGAGGGAGGGCCAACCCACAGGTGCGACCCCAGGACACCCATGGGCCTTTCCCGGTGGGTCCTTACCTGTGAATCACCGACTGTGAAGGGAGGGAGGGGTGCAGTCAACCTCCTACACACCTCCCAACAGGGGGAAAAAAATCTCAAAACCGAGCGTGAACAATTGGATCTAAAATAGGGCGGAGCTGGCTGCTTGAGGGGTGGAGGCTGCGACACTGTCCCCACCGCGCGTGCCTCATTTTCCCGATCCGCGCCAGGCCGGGTTGGTCGGACCCCTTGGTCCTCAAGTTGCAGGACTGAGAAGCACAGCCTTTGCCAGAGCAGCCGGACAAGGCAGTGGGGGCCAGCGAGGGCACCACCTTCCTTCTGCTGCCTGCCCAGGCTCCGGGCCCCCGCCCGGCGCCCCCCGCCTCACCTGCGGCGCCCCCCGCCTCACCTGCGGCGCCCTCCCCACCCCGGTACCCCCGCCTCACCTGCAGCGCCCGGCTCCGCGAGCACGCTGGCACACCCGGACGCCGAGACCGGCGGCCCAACAATGCAGGCTGCCAAGCCCACGCGGTCGCCATGGAGACGCCCCTGCGGAGTCCCGGAGGCGCCAAGCCGCGCGGAGGGCGCGCAGCCGCGGAGAGAGCGGTGCGCCTGCGCATGCGGTCCCTGCACCAGCCGCCGACTCCCTGCCCGGCACGTGTCGGCGTCGCCTATGGCCTCCTGTGCGAGCCGGTGGGTGACGCACACAGGGGACACGTGTGCCTTAGTCCGGAGAGACGTATGCACGAGGAAGGCCCTTGCGGACCGCCGGAGCGAGCAGGGCCAGAGCGGGGCGCCTTCCAGGCTGACCACCGGCCTCCAGGGCCCGAGAGCCCTCCCAGTGGCCTGACCTCGCCGTCTGCCCCAGCGGGCCCTGGCCGCCCGGGATCCCTGCCGTCACACAGACGCCCACCCACCCCATCCTCCGCCCCCGAGGGCAAGGGGCCCGCCCCTCTCCCAAGGCAGCCTCCTCCCAGCAGCCCGCCAGGTAGCCTTTGGGCTCTCCTCGGTCAGAGTTGCTTCCAGTCGCCAGAGGGGAAATGAGAGCCTCACAGGGGCCAGGGCCAAGCAGGATTCCCTCTGCGGCCGGCCCCTTGACCAAGCGCCCAGGGGGAGGAAGGTGGACACCAGGCAAACGCGGAACCCCTGGGGATGACGTCCTTCAGGGAGCTGGTGCGGGGAGGGAGGGTGGCTGGCTGGACGGCCTCTGAAGGCTGTCCCTCTAGGGCTGGTGCTGCAGCTGCTGCCGGTGTGCAGAGCCGGCTGTGGGGAAGGGAAGCTGGAGGGGAGGTGGGGGAGGTGAAGGCAAGCTGGAACCCACAAGGATGGACTGGGCCGTGGACCTCCTGCAGAAGAAGTTGGCAGCGTTCATCACAGAACCACCCGCTCGGCTACCCGGAGCTGGAGAAGCCAACAGGCCTTGCGGGGTGGGGAGCAGCTACACTTGCCTCCCACCAGAGAGGCGAGCCAGCAGATGTGTGAGCTATGGCCACACCTGGGGCATCACCCTGACCTTCCAGGTGTGAAAACATTGCTGCAGCTACTCCCCCCCCCCCCCCCCCCCCCGCCCATACACCAAATCTCACCCAAAATGCCTCTAGTGGCCCAGTTGGGAAACCCTATGGGAAAGGGAATTGGGGTGGGGGGAGGTGGTAGTTGAGGCTAGCCAAGTTGACATACCACAAAGCCACCACAGTACCTGAACTTAAATTGGTGTCGCTGTTAGAAGTACTGCTCACTGGGCAGGCTGCCCAGAGTATCAGCCACAAAGGCCACTGAAGAGCTTTACACAGACTCCCAAGATAAGGTCCACCTTGTAAAAGATCACCCTCGGTTTCTGCTATGGAGATGGCACACTAGGTTCTTATGACCAACCCTTCCACAAACAAGGGAATGAAGAATTCCTGAAAGGTGAACTTTTCCCCAATGAGCACCTTTCTGTTTGGGAGAGGCAGTAGAAAGTTCAGCTACTGAGCAAAGCTCCCAACAGACCAAAGACCAAAGAGATAAATTGTCCTTCTGAGACCACTACAGAGAGGGAGGGTCTAGTAAACACCCAGACTTTGGGTTGGGGCCCCAAAATGCCGGGCTCTAGGAAGAGTGAACTGGAAAAACACCAAACCTTGTGGGGCCTGAAGCTCAGCTTCGGATCACGGCAGACCCTGATTGCATTAAGGTGACCTGGGGTGCTGGGTGTCTCGCTCCCTGCCAGAAGCAGATGTCAGTCCTTTCTAGAAGGGAAGAAAATACCATCTTAGATCTCAATTTATCTGCATGGTTTTAAAATGTGTAATGTGCATCACACACAAGGCAACATGAACACATGATCAAATCCCAAGAAGAGCAAGAGAGAACAGAAACTGACCTGTGGATGGTCCAGATAATGAAATCAGCAAGCATGCACTTTAAAATAATTAGGATTAATGTGTTCGAGGAAGCAGTGATACTAGAAATTATAGCAAGGAATCAAATTGGAATTCTGGATATGAAAAATACAATAACAAAAATGGATTGGTTACTAGCAAATTACCTAGAGTTGAAGAGAGTGTTGGTGAAGTGGAAAGTTGGTCGGAAGACAATATCCATCAACACACAGGGAGAGAAGTCATCACAGGAGACTCAGTGAACCAGTCTCACACACTGGGTGAGAACGGGGTGGTCTCTGGTGAACCCAGCACCTGCGTGCCCTTGGCATGTCTCCTCCGCAGAGCAGAGGTTTTGGGAACCTCTGGGCTGAATACTTGTCTATATGGTTACAGGTTCACCCCAACGGGCTCTTGCATGAGGTTTGAAAGTAGAGGAGGACAGGCTAGTGATTTCTGGAGGCACACGCAATGATTAAGGGCAGGCGAGAAGTTCAGAGCAGCTTCCCAGGTGCTCCGCGGTGGCAGGACAGGCACAGTATGGGGGCTACAGACATGCCTGTTGGAAAGGGGAGAAACCAAGAGGCTTCTTGGTTGGGTGATTCTTCTGAAAAGTCTTCATTTTGATCTCACTCCTGGATGATGGTTAACTGCTCTAGAATCCCATGCTGGCAGTTCATTTCTATCAGAATTTTAAAGACAGGACTCTCTGGATGCCGTTATTGCTAATGAGAAGTTTGGTGTCCCTCCAACTGCCGTTTTGGTGAAGGAGACCTATCTTTTCTTTCTGTGTCCTTGATGTCCTGAAATTTCACTACGGTAAGTCCAAGTGTGGACTGCATTTCAGTTATGCTGCTTGGCACTTGATGTGCACTTCCTGTCTGAGATCTTCGGTCTTCAATCCTGGACATTGCAGTCATTCTATCCTCACATGGAATGTTCTCTGTGGTCTGCCCCCTGCCTCGATTCCTGGATTCTGGGTCTTTGGGGAGGGACTAGATTGAAGCCACTCCATCTGTTCTTTCCGTGTCTCCAAACGGCTCTTCTTGTTTTTTACCTGTGCTCCCCACAGGGAAATCTGCCTCCACTGGTGTCCACTTAGAGTCTGTGTCATCTACAGGGATGGGTTTTTTTTTTTTTTTAATATCATTTCTCGTTTCTAATTTGCTCTGTTGTACTGGTTCTTATTTCATTTTTTTCAAGTTTTTGTTATATAATCTAAGTTTTTGTTGCTATTTTCTCTTTATCCAACATGAGAATCTTAAACATAGTTATTTTGAAGTCTGCTCTATTATTTTAGTTTTCAGGCTGCTGTATTGTTTCCCTTTCGTCTGGGATGAATTCATCAGCTGACTCTGGATCTTGTCCTCTTTCTTCTTAGAGGAACATGCTTTGGAATTGCGGCTTGCAGGCTCATCCTAAACAAGGGGTTTGAGTCTTGTTTTCTCTCTCTGCTCACCCCTCCCTGTGTCTCAGCTTGCAGGTCCCCGGGCTCAGCCTTCTGGGGCTCTGTGGCGGTGATGTGTGTTACTCCGGGTGCTCAGGACTGTCACACAGCCTCCCACTGAGAAGTGCCGATGCAGTCACAGAGCCAGCAATGCCCAGGTCCATCCTCTTTGTCATCCTTAGGTAATTGCCACAGAAGGTGATTTTCTTTCTCAACTTCCTGCCATAGAAGTGGGAGACTTGTCCCAGCTCTGATTCCAGGTGATGCTCTGGGCTGTTGCCCCCCACTTCCTGTGGGCAGTGTTAGACCCTTCACTCCTCAGGGACCGCATTTGCAGCCACTTGCC